GAGAGAGAGAGAGGGTTTTGTCGAGAATATATTTCAAAGGTTACAACTCTGGCGGTGTTCTTGGCCTCGGGAGGTTTGATCTTTCGCCGACTGGTTTGGGTTAGACTGAAAGTTCATGTTTGTAGAAAGAGGGATAGGGAGAGTGAGAAAGTCTTAGTGCTAAGAATATACTTTATACGGTACTACTCTGCTGGTATTGCGGTCGTAGTAAGATTTAATCTTCCTCAGAGTGTTTTGGATTGAATGAAAGATTACATTCGTAGAAACAGGGATAGGTAGTGAGAGAGGGGTAGTCACTGTGATATACTTTATACAATAAAAATCTGGTGGTAGTCTGTTTTTTGGAAGGTTTGGTCTTTAATAGAATGGTTTGTGTTAGACTTAGAGATCCTATTTGTAGAAAGAGGGGCAGGAAGGAGAGGTTAAGCATCAAGAATTAGTTTAAGAGATCTATTCTAGCACATTGTTGGCATTTCTGTGTGAATATATCAACTAGTTTGCTTCTTAGAGCTGGTCACATAGACCCTTAGTATTCTTCAAGTGTTTTTGGCTATTATATGATTGAAGCATCACAAATATGGTATGGTGACTTGAGCGAAAATGATCACCATGACATGTTTGCAGCATCTAGATAAAATATGCTCAGGTGTTATGCATGGATATAACAAATAAATCTTTTCATATGGTTGCATGTCTGAGTATGTAAAGAGGCATAAAAGATTTTCAAAATAGAAAAAGTTAAGGGAAAGAACCTACTTACGAGTCCTTATTGTGGTTATGCAGTTCATGAATGTTGTATCTGGAGATTGGATCAGAGCTGTGTTAGGATATCTTTGTCATTGAATTTCAAAGAGACTACCAAAAAGTTCTTCATTAACTAATTTTCCCCTTCAACCACCGGCGCTATGCAGGGTTTTTGTCATTTCCATTCTCCGTGAGAATATGATAGTTGAAGAATAAAAGTGTATGCCAAAAGAAGTATAAACGAGCAACAAAATATAACTTTGTTTTGATGTATGGGTTCTAGATATTTGATAAGCTGGTGAATTAGTAGATCTTGATATTGGGAAATGGTGGTAAGTTTGATCTTGTTACTCCTAAGATCTATATGAGAACTAGTTTAGCAGGATTGCCAATATGGAAACACCTTGACTGCACAGATAAATGCTAGGAAATGTTGCGAAAGATTGAATGTGTGGCCATGAAGGTGGTAAGATGATGATATTAGCTTGCTGATCTGCATCATACAAAGAGGTCACAGATGTGTCTCCTCCCAAACTCTGTTGCAGCCATGTCTTGCTACATTTCCCGCTCCTTATTTTTCTTGAAAATATTCAATGTCATTTGTGTTAATATGGTTATTTTTTAACTAATTGTATGATAATATTACTACAAAAATCTTGGACGTATTCTCATAAATTAGTACATGGTATTTGGATAATTTCCAAGATGGTACTATTCTCAAATAAATGGATGGCTGGTTCTGACCTAATTTCTTCTTGAACACATATCCCCTCTTTGGTACCTGAATTTATGTAGTATTTTATAATTGTATATTCATCATTTATCTGTGTCAACCTCATGTGATATAATGCATATGCTTGTTACTCGAAGAGTTTCCAATTTTGAATTAGACATGCATCTTGAAGAAATTGATGGAAAACAACATTTGCTTTGATAAAGCAAGTTTTGATATCTTTAATAAATCACTTAGTGATTAAAAATGTGGACTGCATGCTCAGTTAGCTAGAGAGCTGATAAAAAATGGTTGCTTTTGGAAACTCTCCTCTGTTGAAAAGAAAAAAAAATCTACTTAAACTAGTGACCAATTTGTATCCCCTTGCTGAAACAAACTTGGGTGAGATTCGAGGAATCTGTAATTTCAAATTAAAATTATATCTCATCTGACATTTCTTTGTGCTCATTCTACGGTCACTGTTACTGTCTATTAAAAAAATATAAATTCTGCTTTTCGCAAAACATTTACCACAAGTCTGGATCTGTGTTACGCTTGATGTTGCAATCTTTTGACAAAGAGTGGAGCTTGAGTAAATCCTATTTAAAAACACTTTGTACCAAAAGCTCTTTGTTAATTGTAGCCTGGTAGGCTGGTAGTTGTATAGTTCTTGAGTTTCTTCTATGAAGAACATGTTAAATGGGGCAGAATTTTTATGTTTTTTAATATAAATTTATATTATGTTTTGGTAAATCATTAACTTGTTTTGATGTATGTTTGTGACATTCTCAACAATGCTTATCTAGGCGATGGAAGATTATACATCAAGCAATGGCCATCGTTTTAAAAGGATACCACGCCCACTGTTTGCTGCTAATCCAGAGCTGGAACCTTTGGTTTGTCTAATCTTTTCATTGATTAATTGTTCACATTGCTTGCTAGAATTTTTTTTATCATACCAGATCCAAGTGAGAAACAGATTGATTCAGTGTCTTTGTATATAATTTTTTCTATACTGCTGCCACATAGCTCTTTTGCAGTGTACATAAGTATGAATTCTATTAAGATATTCATAGTAATATATAATTAAGTATTAAACAAAAAATACAATCGGGTCTAAAATATTCATAAATAATGCTAAGATCAAATAAAAAAATTGGATGATAACATCTCTTCTCGTTTAAGAAATTGACTGGGCGAGAAGTTATCAAAATTGAGTAATGATATGAGCGATGATTGCCAGATTATCATAGACCTCTATGAGGTACCAAGATATTAGTGATGGTTGAAATGACATTGTCATCAGGGTAGATTTCACATATGCAATGAGTGGGCATATTGAGGTTGTATAACCTTATGAGGGGCAGTTTCGTGATTGCATATGCAGTCTCATAGATGCATTCTTGAACGATAATATCCATAAGATAACTATTCACTAACTTGCCAAAGCATGCATTGAGACCTGAGCTGGTGATACAAAGTTTAACTGTTTGATCGTGCATATGAAATTGGCAGCGAGAATGATAATCAACATTTTCTATCACCTGTGTTCAAGATTTGTTTTCCTTTACTAATAGATACTAGATGTTACAATACTTGCCGTTAAAAATCTGTTCTTATCAAGCAACCTGTGGTGTTAGTACAATTTCTTAAAAGTTTATTTGCAAGAGAGCCATGGCAACTGACTTGAGCATACTGATGTTTAACCGAGTAATGATGAGTGCTGGGCATGTGCTATGATATCAAGATACTTTTTTGTTATGAATCCTGCAATTTGGTGATGAATTTTCTAATTTACTATGTGCTTTTATTGTTTGTTGTTACCACACTATATAAGGCACAAAGTTCTGTTGTCATGTGAGGAAGAACATGCTATTTTTTGCTGTCAGATAAATGAAAACATGGACCAGTGGCCACATTTGAATGAGTTGGTACAGTGCTATAAGGCTGATTGGGTGGTGGATGAAAACAAGTATGGACATTATGAAGGCATTGGAACACCATCTTTTCAAAGTCAGATCTTTGAAGGGCCTGATACAGATATAGAAACTGGTACATCCTTTAACTAAATAAATTTGCTTTTCATTTTTTCATTTTAAAATTTTTATAATCTTTGCTACAGAAATACGTCTTGCTAGTGCAAGGCTTTCTAAGACTGAAGATGCTACAGATGATGATGTTCCCAGTACGTCAGGCAGGCAACTACCTGAAACTGGCTTATATAAGTCATCCTCCAAAACCCAAGACATGGTACCTTTTGTAAATTTTGGTCTAGATCTATGCTTTACTAGATAATGTTCCGATTTAGTCATGGAAAAAATGTTTTTTGTTTTACAATCTTGTTGCTAAAGAGCAGGTTCTTCCTGTTCATGCTTATTTCACTATTTCTTGAATTTATGTCATTATCAGTTTTAGTCTACTATAAATAGAATTTTCAAGTTGTCGAAACCCAGGGCATTACTATAGACAAGTTTTTGTCACAATGCATGTGAAACTTCTAGATTTGATGGTTTGTATCTTCAAGACAATCTTAGAGCTAAGCATACAGGTGAGGACTTCTCTATTATCTTTTCACAAAAATCTCTTGTAACATTGCTGAGCTGCTTTCTTTTCTTCAACTAAGCTTTCAGCAGAAACTTGGATCCTATTATGGTGTAATTTTTATGGTAGGGATTGGTGAGTGGTGGTTATGAGTTTTTGGTGTTGCAAACTGTCACTGCTATATTGAAAGTTCCTGTGCATGGAGAAAGAGGATTCTGGACTAAATGATCCTTGATAAGGATTTGCATTCTTAAGCAAGAAAGCATAAACTGTGAATGAACTATTATCTTGTTATTTCTGTTTTCTTTTAGTGCATTTCTGTATGCAAATATGCCTTCGAGAATTACAAAACATAATATTCTTTCTCACTGGTTAACTAGTTGCTAGTAAACTAGAAGTAATGAGGGTGGAAGTTCTCTTTCACAAATCGTGTAATAAGGTGTATTCAGGTCATCATGGTCTTTGAGTTTTAACATATTCTTTCAAATATTGTTTGGACTTTTGACTTTCTGCATATTATAATTTTGCTGAGTGAAAGTTCAGATCAGCCTTCTCTACATGATATTATATTTACCTGAAGTGCTGGTCAAAAGTGTGCCTTTATGTTTGTTATTGATTTCTTTTATGCATTTGGTGGAATATGGTTATTTATTAAGCATCTCTATTCTTTATGGTCATTGTTTGTTCTCCAGCATTTTGGTGAGTCTCCACTGCCGGCATATGAGCCAGCTTTTGACTGGGAAAATGAAAGGTCACTGATTTTTGGTCAAAGAACTCCTGAAACTCTTCCAACACATAGCAGGTTTACATTGCTCCAAAACCTGTAACTTATGGTCGATATATAAGGCCTTCTAGAAATTAGTATTAAATCTGCATTATTAAGCTTCTCATTTTTGGCCCTTGTTTTGTAAATCTGTGTTGTTGACTTTAGTGGATTGAAGATAACTGTGAAGGTGTTGTCATTGTCATTTCAAGCTGGATTGGTTGGTGAGTATCGTTCTGCACATTATTGGACAATCCATTATATGCAATTATACATATATACTCAGTAAAGGCCATCTTCAATAATTGAGTACTGTATGGTGATCATTTTGCCATTCTTTTTGTAGAGCCTTTCTATGGAACAATTTGCTTATATAACAGAGATAGGAGAGAAAAGTTGTCGGAGGACTTCCACTTTTGTGTTTTACCTACCGAAGGGCAGGATGTAAGATGTGCTTTGTCTGGTTATTATTCTCAGTCAAGTTACATACTACCTTCTTCTATGAAAACAAGAATTGTTTCTACCTTCTTCCATGTCGATCTTGACGGTGCTTCCTTTTCTCTGTGCAGAAAGTTGATTTCTTTCCCACTCTCTTTTTTGTAGGTTAATGCTTCTTTGATACGTCGGGCTGTTTTCTCCTTAGATGCTCCATCAGCATCTGTTTGCCTTCTCATCCAACTTGAGAAACCTGCTACAGAGGAAGGGGGGGTTACAGCATCTGTTTATTCTCGCAAGGAACCTGTAAGTCAAGGTCTATAATATGTTACTATTTTGTCTCATAGATCGTGTTGCTACTGTTCACAATTTTTTGTTAAACATGATTAAAATGGATTTATGATATGATTTTTTACATTTTTTAGGAATTAAAATGTAATCTAAAAAGATATTTGTCATACTCAAAACAATATCATGTTGATAAGTGCTAAAGAATCAACTACCAAATACCCATCTTCATTTGTACTTTTTAGTTACTTTATGTTGATCATTCTGTCAATCTCAAGGACTTTGTAGTGCTTTAGTGTTAAATGAAGGGTTTTTGATACTTAAATGTAAGTTACTTTATGTGCCAGGTTCACATGGCAGAAAGAGAAAAGCAGAAGCTCCAAGTTTGGTCTCGTATCATGCCTTACAGACAATCGTTTGCATGGACCATTGTTCCACTGTTTGAAAACAACAATGTTGCTGCTGCTGGTGGTGCTGCCTCTCCTAGTAGTCCTCTTGCTCCCAGTGTATCTGGGTCAAGCTCTCAAGATAGTGTTGCAGAGCATGTTTCAAAAATGACTTTGGATGGCAAATTGCCCCACTATTCAAGTGGGAGCTCAGTTATTGTAGAGATATCAAACATAAATAAGGTTAAAGAGAGCTATACAGAGGATTTATTTCAGGTGATTTCTCAGCACAAATCTGCTGATAGTTTTATTTTTTATTTTCTGATAGTTTTAATTGGAATATCTTTCTCAATATGCACCTTGAAGAATTTAATAGCATGCTTTTTTCTTCTTTTTTGTGATTCAATGTGTATAAACTTTCTGAGCGTGCAAGTACTTGTGATACTAGTGCAATATGAATAAATAATTTTGGTGATTGATTATTGTGTTATGATGAATTGAAGAGCTTATTTATGTAAATCCCCACATAATGAGAACTCAAGGTCCACCGTTTCGGTTACCAGCTTTTTGCTAGTCGATGGCCGGACCAATTTAGGTCTAATTCGACCGGCATACCATGTGTCAGTATGTCAGAATGTACCATGAATTGTTGGGGGGAGGGAGAGGAAGTCAAAGAATAAGGAAGAAGAGGAAGAAGAAGGAAAAGAGGAATGAGGAAGATGAAGAATGAAGGAAAGGAGGAAGAAGATGGAAGAAGAGGAGGAAGAGAAGAAAGAAAAATAGGAAGAAGAAGAGGAGGCGGTGGAGGAGGAGGTGTACGTGAGCAATGTGGGCGATGGGTGGCGAGGGATAGGCAGCAAGTGGGGAGGCGAGGGTGGACTCGGACACGTGGGAGAACAGGAGATGACTTAAGTTTTATTTTTTATTTTTAAAATTTTAAAAATGAGTTGGGCTTACCTGGTCTAGGCCCATTGTCATGCTTGAATTGGGTGGTAAGCCCTGTTCACAGGCCTTAATGCCAGGTTTACTGGGCTCACCATGCAGTAAGCCTTGTATTGTGCTGAACTGCCCAAAATTGGACTGGTCTGGATGCCGGTTGGTGGTCAGACAAGTAAATACTTGCCGTATCATACCGAACCAGATGAAATTGCATTCCTTATTGAGAAGAGACAGTCAAGAATTGATGAATTGGTTACCTGAAATATAGATTGAATTTGTCAGCTTCTGCACTCCAAGTATCACTGTATATCTTGTATTAGACTAGGTTTTACTTTTAGACAAGAATGCGATGTGGTACGGTTTGCAAAATCCAACATATCTTGGATATTAACGCATGTAATGATGAATTCTGGTATTTTCTTTTGACAACTTGCCACAGAAATCTTTCTAGTGGGTCTGTGTTTTAGGTTTGCTTAACAACATTTTTACATGGATGGATTTATATCCTATTCTCCCACTTCTGTATCTTGGCCTGTCGCTTTTCTTGCTTTGTAGTGAATTTAGCATTCAAGTGTATTTTCCCAGAAGGAATTCTGTAGAAGCATATCTTTCTAAGTGCTTTGAAAGAAAAAAAAAGGAGCTCCCTTTAAGATCTTGTTTGCTGATATCTTGCTTGACAAATACAGTTTTCTGAGGTGTTGGATGAAAATGGGTAGCTTCAGATGTTTTTAAATGTTTTTTTATTGGTTTCATTCAAGGTGAGCCCTTGTTTTGTCTTTTCTGTTTTTCTCAGGACCCTAAGAGAAAGGTACATAAGCCTGTGAAAGGTGTATTGAGATTGGAGGTTGAAAAGCTTCATGCAAACTCTGTTGATATTGATAATATCTCTGAAGGAGGAAGTATGATTATTGACTCAAATGAGGCTGAAACTTCTTTTGGAAAGCATCACGTCAATGGTCTGGATGGATCTAGGAGTAGTCATTCGAAGTTCATTGGCATTGACCGGAAAGACATTCGTGTTAATGCTTTAACACCGGTGGGAGAAGATCATCCTGACTCTTCTGGTGATGATGTAAGTTTTTTTTGGTCAAGTTCTACTTATCCTTCTATGATCAATAGTACTGCTTTACCACTGACTTGCTGGATGAACTTGTTTTAGGAAGCTTTATCTGGAATTATTGGAGATTTCACTCAATTACTGTTGTTTTATTAATTTTATGAAAAATAATATTGTCATCAAAAGTTCTGGTCGTCGATCTGTTTGTCATCCTCCAAAGTTTTACAATATAGAGCTTTTGAAGAATATGCTTTGGTGGAGATTGTGGGAGTCCAGAATAAGAAAATAATAGAGTGGACTAATGTAGTGAACTTCTAGCATCGTGTTTATTCTTGTCTAGTACGATGTGTCTGGAACACAGGGTAATATATATTGGAGTACTAATTTGAGGTCCATCGTCTTGCTTTGTATTGGTTTGCCATTTTCCATGGACTTAAGTCTCTGTGCAACTCTGTGCAACTCTATGAATGAAGTAATATGAGCAACCAAATCTGTCAAGGGGTTAAGCTGATTGGAACATGCCATTTTTAAGATCCAAGGACAGCATGACTTTGGAAACTGGATCAACGGGAAGGCAAACAGAGGAATCAAATATTAGCTATACTAGTCAGTACAGATCAGAATCTGCTGGCCCAACCAAGGGCTGGTAGTATTTTTTAATTTATATTGTATTTTATAGTGATATCAGGTGGCATGAGATAGTATACCGCTCGGTAGATCGGTACCATATGACCAATAACTGAAACTGGTATTGGATTGAGATTTAAATCCTCAATGCAAGCCACTATATTTTGTTATGAATGAGGCATTGGAATTGTTGGTGGATGACAACAGGAGGATCCACACATGCCTCTACATCCAGAGAAATTATGTGGGCTAAGATGCAGGACATTAAGCTAGAAGTACAGCAGTTTCATGGGACTAGTTTGTTGGTCTCATGAGTTTGAGTGGCATCAGCTCTTGGACGGAAGAGAAGTATTTATTTTAAAGGATTAAAAATGTCAATTGGTGCCAAATTTTGAAAAAACAACACTGATTTGCTTGAATAGTTAACTGCATGAGTTCTTGAAGATAATGAGATGTTAATTTTATATGAGGTATATAGCAGGGTTGTAACAGATGCCATGAGCCCATTAAAGCCCAGTACCTTAATTTACGAATTTGAATAAAGTCAAATTGATAATGATCATTATTGATGTTTTTCACGTAGGATTTGTGGAAAATGTAATTGTTAGATATCATAATAGATGAAAGAAACAAAATAGAAGAAATATCATCAAAAACAATGGAATATTCCATGCCCTAGATTATTATTGTCAAGGAAGTGATCCTAGAATCCATTTGTGGTTTACTCATTACTATCGTTGCTTTGTTTCTAACCCATACAAACACAAGCACAGATAGATAAGAACATCTGTCTGCTGGATAACCATATCCTATCAGTTGAAATCTAATTATTTATGACAAAGTGGGCACTATATTTGATTGACTTGTATGGTTTTTTGCTGTTTTTATGAACTATATTTCAAATTATATTTATTATACTCTTTGCCTCCTCTCCTAGCTTCCTTCCAAGGCAAATTGTATGGGACTTTCTTTCTGAATAGGAAGCTGTTGCCCATTTCGGAACTTTTTGATGCTTGTAAATTAACTTTAATCTCAGGGCCAGAGAATTAAGTAATTATCCCTTTTAAGCTTGAATTTTATTAACTTTGATGTCTTGCATTAATGAAATCACTTCAAAATTTTGTTTTGTGGCAGTTTCAAGCTTTTGATTTTCGGATGATGACTAGAAATGAACCATTCTCGCAACTTTTCCATTGTCTACACGTGTATCCCTTGACTGTTAACTTGAGCCGCAAAAGAAATTTGTTTATAAAAGTCGAGATGAGAAAGGATGATGCTGACATACGAAAGCAGCCATTAGAGGTTTGTATTGATGAGACTGACTTGGTTCGTCATATCAATTTCAGTTCACATTACTTAAGCTTGATGTGCTGCTGTTGTTTTTTGTTGATCAGGCTGTGTATCCCAACGACTTAGGTCCAACTCTTCAAAAATGTGCTCATACACAAATTGCAGTTGGTGCTAGGATGGCCTGTTATCATGATGAGATAAAAATTTGTCTCCCTGCTCTTTTGACAACCCAGCATCATCTTCTGTTCACTTTTTTTCATGTTGATCTTCAAACAAAACTTGAAGCTCCCAAGCCTGTACGTGCTTATCATTCTTTTTGGTTGATTTTATGTGAATTCTACATAACTTCTTGACATGTGGAACAAACTACACGTACTTCTGTTTGATAGTTGCTTACACGTGCAGGTAATTATTGGATATGCTGTACTTCCATTGTCCACACACATTCAGTAAGTGTTGCATCTATTAGTATTTATATATTGCAATGTCATTATGGGTGGTATGTCAATATAATTTAAGGGTGATAGTTGGCGGTGGTAATGTTGTACAACTGATGCCTACATGTTCTTTTTGTGGAATTGGATTCACCAGTTGTTCCTCCAAATTTGGTAACACCATGATACTGACTTGGTAACACCAAGAGCAAAAACTTCCCTATCTAGTTTTGAGAACTTTTAGTTACTTGGTATCTTGTGCTCTTAAACTATTATTTTGGGGGAGACAACACAATCCTGTATATTGGCTATGGTGTAGCTGACGTTATTTGGTGTTTGAAGTTGCGATTTGCAATTTTATTATAAGCCCATTGTGACCAAGAAATACAATATTGAACCATTGTAATGAATTGATTTGGAACACGAAGGCATTTGGTTTAAACTGGCATTGAATATATGTGTGTCTAACACAAGATTTATTGAAATGAAGGTATCTTCTTTGATGGCAACGTATGTACGTGCTAATGTGTAAAGATCTGTGATAAATAATGATAGATGCTGATGCTGATATGCATGCTGGGGTTGATTCCTTTATCGTACGGGTAATTTTTTTTTGTAAATATTTTACACGCATGTCTGGGTTAATCTTAGGCAGCATGGAATTGCAGTGGGCAACTCTTGGTAATCAAACTTTTTTTTAACAAGTTATGAAGCACTAGGTATGATAGGCAGATGCCAAGATCTGCGAACTTGTTCATTTATACTCATTTTGTTTATTTGTGTTCACATTACACAGGAGTTGTTATACCAGCTTTTATGGTGTTCTACCCTTCGAAAGTTGTAAACAGTTTTGGGTTGATTGAAACATTGCATATTATGGATTGTTTTCATTTTCTTTGCCATTTTGAATGAGTGTGCCATATCGTCAAATTTTAACTATGGGTTTACTTGTATGTGTCTGTGTTTCCTTTGAGATGAGAGAATGCTTTTCATCATTTAAGTAGTTTGATTTTGCCCTTTTCAGGCTGTTGTCTGATGTATCTTTACCTATTTTGAGAGAGCTAGTTCCTCATTATCTCCAAGATAGTAGCAAGGTATCTATTTTACTTGTACATTCATTATGGGGAAGTTCCAAGGCAAATGTCTCTTTCTAGACACTTTTTTGTTTTAAATGTGCTGATTCTCTCAAAGTGGCTTGTTGATCCTTTATAAATTGAAAATTCATACTTTATCCTTATGGTTTTAACTTTTGGGTTATCTTTTCAGGAGAGACTGGACTTTCTAGAGGATGGGAAAAATGTCTTCAGATTACGTTTAAGGCTGTGCTCCTCTTTGATTCCCGTCAATGAACGAATTCGTGACTTTTTTCTCGAGTATGATCGGCATAATCTTCGGACAAGTCCACCTTGGGGATCTGAGCTTCTTGAGGTACTTATTGTGCTTTTTATTTAGTTTCTACCTTTGAAACTTTCATGATGATGATGTTCGGTAATTGCTCACTTAATCTCTGTTTGGATTTCAATCCTGATTGCTATTTAAGGGAGAAAAGAGGAACAGCTGAACTGTCAGGCCACAAACGAACCCAAATATTCAATTCATAAGTCATCAGATTATGTTATGACTCAAGATTTCACTACTATTTATAACATATTTTACTCAAGATCCAATCATACTAAAAGATTTTATGGAAAGAAACCTTACTTGTAAGGAAATCTTGTAATTCTGTATTATCTTATCTGAAAAATAAAAATTGGCCATTTTAATAGGGACTTAGTGGTATACAAGACTATAAAATCCTGTAGGATGGGTATGATAGTGGTATACAGGACTGCATACCAACATTTACCGCTCAACGTCATTGAAAGTTTTGAAAAAAAAAAGACATGACTGATATTGAATTATATAGTCCAATATTGTTGTTTTACTACACCAGTAAATATCGGTCAATAGGTATCAATCTGACAGGATTCTGAAATTCTGGTTGGGAGTGTGATGACACTCTAAGTTTGAGTAGGTTGGCTTATGAGAAGCTTTGAATTACTCAGTTACATGATAGATCATGGAGGATCCTTAATTTTTGACTTTCCTCTGAACTTTATTGGGCTACTAGCAATTTGATAACTCCGTCTTTCTAGATAACATGTAAGGTTTTGATATTTTTTTGTTGTAAAATTTACCTCAATATCATTTAGTTGGAATGATGAAATTCTCCTGTCACCTTCTGTAATATTGTTAGTTTGATGGGCGTCATTAATGAGAGCTAAGAACTCTTTTGACTTTCTCATTTATTAATAAGGTTTTAATCATGTCAATCATCTGATAACTGTTGCCATATAACACAAACTTGAACCAGCTAACTATGTGGATTTCTCATTATTGGTTGGTTGGCATTGCAACTAAGTTTCTCCTGGCTGTTTAGTTTAACATCCTCTTGTGCATACTGCATATAAACAATTCTGCACTCCCTCTGAGAAGTTAAAAAGGGTGATTTCAAGATCAAGTGGTCTTAGAAGGAAATTTCAACAGATATGGATTCACCTTATTAAACAGCCGGACAACTTTTAGTGTCTATGGTTACATATGATTTTTGTGTTGCTCAATTGATTGCTAATTCCATTTTTATTGAACTATTAAATAGCTGAGAAGTTAAAAAGGGTGATTTCAAGATCAAGTGGCCTTAGAAGGAAATTTCAATAGATATGGATTCGCCTTAAATAGCTGGACAACTTTTAGTGTCTATGGTTACATATGATTTTTGTGTTGATCAATTGATTGCTAATTCCATTTTGTTTGAACTATTAAATAGTTCCATCCAAAAAGGTGTATGAGTGTCACATGTAATGCTGTTGTCGATCATTAGTCTGAGGATCTAATTGGATTTTCTGTCCTAAGGCCACAATTTATATGCTGATTATGCAGGCGATTAACAGCTTGAAGAATGTTGAGTCTACCGCCTTACTGCAGTTTCTCCAACCAATACTCAACTTGCTCCTTCATCTTATTGGTGATGGCGGGGAAACCCTGCAGGTTCTGTTTATCTTTTGTAGACGAAAATTTCACTTTGGTCATCTGGTTCCTCAAAATTTGTTGTAGCTAAGTGCCAATTTTCTTTTTGTACAAGTTTTCTTTTTTTTTTGTTTTGGCCCTGGAATTAATTTGATTGCAATTTCTTGTTTCTTTACTATTAATTTTGTAGGTTGCAGCATTTCGGGCTATGGTCAATATTTTGACCAGGTATGCATTTCCATTGATATTTTCTATAGTGTTATTTTTTGGTTTTATCTCAATGTATGCTAAAAAAATTCATTATTCTAAGCGCAGACATTTTCATTTCATTAAGAAAAGAATTTGCTGATATTAAAGAAGTTAAAAGGTAAACAAGAGGATGAATCATCCATAAATTAAACCTGAAATAGATACTCCCAAATGTTCCACCACTCAAATATGCTTGCTAATTCAGGTCAATTAGTCTCAGAAAAGCAAGATGATATTTGATATATTTATCTCTAATTTGGCTCTTGGGATACATAAATGTACATGATTCATGTATGATTCATAATTTCATATTATGTCCTCATGGATGAGTATGTCTATTCATACACATTGGTATGTAGAAGATGCATGTAATTTTTTTATTAACCTCGTAGGCACTTCTGAACTGCAACTTGTGATTGATTGTTGGCTGCACAAGACTTTGTTCATTGTTTTAATTTCTTGAATTTCTATTCTGTATTAGGTTCATCAGTTGAATATGGAGTATTTGTTAACTGATAATAAATTAAATCATTTGCAAATAGAATACAAGATACCACTTTCATTTCTTTTTAAGTCACATATGTGAAGTATTACTTTTGATTTAATCACCACCATGCAGGGTACAACAAGAGTCATCTGATGGGGCTGACAGAAATCGTTTTCTAGTTAAATATGTTGACTATGCTTTTGATGACTTTGGCGGTAGGCAAGCACCTGTATACCCTGGTTTATCTACAGTGTGGGGCAGCTTGGCACGTAGTAAGGTAATGTTGAGATCTGACTTTGTTTTCTTTGGGTATTCGTATGTCCAAGTATGCTTCAATGTCCTGGAACAGAGCATATCTGTTCATCTTAGAGTCATTCTTTCGCAGTCTCTTGGAAACGAGTTATCTTCTGGTTTCTAAGTCCTATTGTAACTGATGCCAACAGAAGCTTAATCTTTTAACTTGCCTATGAAATAAATCCATATTACATCTTCCTCTTAAATTATGTGATGTTTGTTATACCTGTGCATGTTTCTGTGCTTTCATTATAGTGGAGTTTGGAAATATTGTCTACATCTCATATGCTTTTTCCTTTGGAGTGAGAAATTCTCACTTTTGATGCAACTTCAAGTAGTATGCTGTCTTTCATCTTTTATTGTTCTCCATTCCTTGGTCCATGATTTATATTTTCTTCATTGGTAAGGTGAGCAAGCCAGCAATGTGTAAGATGAAAGCTACAATTTCTGAATTTCTAAACTTGGAATGAACTTTTTTGTTTGGATTAGTCATAAACTACTCGATTTTAATTTAATGTCAAGATTTACTCATATTTTCTTCTGAATGGACTATGTGACTAAATTCTAGCAGTTATACAGGATTTGAATTATTAATGCTGGATCTTATGATATGTATAAACTGACAACTGTGAGCAGCAATAGATCTTGCATTTCCGAGTTATATACAAGTAAAGAGTTGTTTTAAGTTTCGTTCTCTATCTCATGTGATCAAGGAGACACAAAAACCCAATGGACGGTTGGTTATCAT